GTGGAGGAGAGCGTGCAGCTCCTGTCTGCCGGCCTGGAGGCTGCTCACGCCAGGGTTTTGGGGCTCACTAGCGAGGTGCGCTGCCCTTGGAGGTGGGAACGTGGGCACGAGCAGCAGAGCCCCGCCAAGGGCGGGCGCCACTAGGTGTTGTTCGACCCCCGCGCCGAAGCCAGCTTTGCGCCGTGGATGTTGGGTTTTCTCGTCCCGACGGCCCGGCAGCGCGCTAACAGGTCCACCTGGCCCAGTATCGCGCGCCGCCTCGCACGCCGCCCGCTCCGTCGCCCTGCCTGCAATCATTCGGCCCCAACCCCCATCTTACTGCGCGCCTACCACAGCGCGCTGCCCTCGAGAGGCAAGTGGCGCAGCTGCAGGCTGAGCTGCGGCGCTGCACCAGCGACACACAGGTGCTTGTGATTGTGTCTGTGTGCGTGCGCGTGTGTGTGTTTGTGTTTCGGGTGTGTTGTGAGTGGGTGGGCGAGCAAGTGGCATGTAGGTGGGTGCGTGCGTGCGTGTGCGCGTGTTTGGGGTGTGTTGTGCATGGGGGGGGGGGGCAAGTGGCCTATGGGTGGGTTTGAGGTTGCGTGCGTGTGCGTGCCTACGTGCGTGTGCAGGGACAGGCACGGCTGTGTTGTGTGCATGATAACCTGAGCAGATCGGGGCTTCCCCAGGGCATTCTAGGGTTCAGGGTTGAAGCTTGCTGCCCTTGTTGCCTTAGACAAGCTCCGCGTGGCACGCCCACAACACCCCGCTTCCGCTGCAGGCACCAGCGCAGAGTGGGAGCCAGGCGGCGCCGGGCGTGCCCCCTCCCCCGCAGCAGCTCTCGGAGGCACAGGGGGAAGCGCAAGCCCTGCAAGCCCTTGCAGGGGGCAGCTGCAGCAGCAGTGGCGGGGATGGCGAGAACACCGGCGGCAGCGCCAACGGCAGCGCCAACGGCAGCAGCAAAGGCAGCCGCAGCGGCGACACATGCGGCGGGGAGGCTTTTGTGCGGGAGCCTGGCGCTGGCCGGGCTGCTAGTGCAGCCGGCGGCGTGAAGCCCGGTTGCACGCCGGATGGGACCGTCGGGAGGCGCGCGGGCGCTGCTGACGAGGAGGCGGCCGGCGCAGGCGCCGGTGGTGGCGATGGGGTGTGCGGGGCCGCGTCCGCAGCGCCCGCCTCGCCCGTGCGCACCGGAATGGTGGCGGCAGTGGCGCGGCGCTGGCAGAGCCAGGCGCCTGCGCCCCAGCCACAGCGACAAAAGCAGGGCGGAAAGCAGGCGGGCCGAAAGAGCCACAGCGGGCAGCAGTTGCAGCAGCAGAAGCAGGAGCAGCAGCAGCAGCAGCAGGGGGAGGCTGCGCCGCATGTGAACATGGACCAGCAACCGCCAGGTCAGCAGCAGCAGCAGCAGCAGCAGGTGGGGCACGGGCACGGGCAAGGGCAGGGGCAGGAGACGCAGCAGCAGGAAACACATCAACCAGAGCGACAGCAAGATTGCAAGCAGCTGCAGGAGCACAAGCTGGAAAAGCAGCAGCAAGACGATCATCAACATCATCATCAACAGCAGCAACAGCCGCCACCGCCGCTGCCATCGCAGCAGCAGCCGCCGCAGCAGCAGGAGGGCGACAGGCAGAGCCATGAACACCAGCAAAAATTGGAAGAGCATCAGCCCACTGCCACAGCGGTGCAGCAAGCCCAGCACCAGAAGCCGGCCGTGTCCCCGCAGCGTAAGCCGCAGCAGCGGCCGCAGGCGCCTCGGCAGGGCCCGCCGCCGCTCCCCCTGCCGTCCCCGCCGCAGCTGCGGCAGGGACCGCGGCCGCAGGCGCCCGTGGCTGGCGAGCAGCCAGACAGCCCTGTGCGCGGCGGCGTCGCGCTGCGGCGATTCACACAAGAGCCCGCTGCAGCTGGGGACCCCCCTTCATCCCCTGGCCCCGCGAGCCCAGGCGGCCGCGCCGGCGGCTGGCGCATCACTAGCAGCCGTGCCGGCAGCTTTGGAGGCGCCGGGGCCGGGTGGGGAGCGGTCGGTCCTGCGGCGGCCAGCTCGGGCGCAGCCGGCGGCAAGCTGGCACCTGGGCCGGCGTCTCCGAAACGGCCGCTGATGTCAGCTAAGGGCCGTGCGGCGGGTGTGGCAGCGCGCGGCGGCAACGGCGCTCTGGGGAGCAGCGACAACAAGGGCGAGCCGAAGTGATGTGTGTGGGGGGCGTCGGGCAGATGTGAGCATTCCTCCATGCGTAGAAGCTCCGCTGTGATTATGGCAGGGGCTGGTGCTGGCGCAAGTGATTATGTGCGCAGCGGCATGGGGTGCGCGGCAGACTGAAAGCAGCTGAAAAAGTGTTGGTTTTAAACCTTTCATATATTTGTGCTTGTCAGCAGCTTGGGGCGCAGCAGGTGCGCGCCCTGTATGGTCGTGCGGCACCCACTTCACACATGTCGGCAGGACACATCGACATCATCATGAGTCGGCATCAGTAACACGCTCGCTCATTCATGCTTTCAAAAGGCGAAGGGGGGGAGCCAAGAGTTAGCGCCGGCGTAGGGCACGCGGGGCCAATGGGGGGCGCAAAAGGTTTGTGGCGGCGGTCGAAGGGCAACCCATTCATTCAGCAGGGTGTGGTTTGTGGGCGTTTGCGGCCGCCCGTGCGTTGCACCGCACAGCGCCTGGTGGCATCCTTGCCATTGCTGGCTTCCGCTCAGCTGTCGGAGCGGCCGCAAGCTGATATCACGGGGTTTGCAGCCGGCTGTGCAGGTCGTCTGAGGGAGCCTGCCCCTTGAACGCAATCACCTGCGGGAAAGCAACAGAGGAACAGGCGCGGAGGGCGCGGGGGGGGGGGGGCGCGGCCGCGCCTGACCACCCTTCCAGAGCTTATGTTGCCGCCTGGGCGCAGTGCCGTCTCCTGGGCCCAGCATCCAGACTGTTGATGGGCAAAGGCAGGCCGCGTGGGGGCTGCGCTGGGCTCTTGCAGCTGCTGGGCAGGGCAGTGTGTACATCTGCGGTTGGCCAGCAGTTGGTGTAAGCAATCGGCAATCTGGGCTATGATGTGTGGTACAAATAACGCAAGAGCATTTTGTGGATATTCCAAGACTATCAAGAGAGCCAGCACAGCCCGCCCAGGGAATCTCGGTCGAAGCGTGGGTGAGGTGTGGCGGCATGTGCTGCTGCTGAGCTGTTGCCAGGAATCCGGCCTAGCTGCGCACATGGTCAAGACCTGCTGTGCAATGATTCGCCCAAAGCCTTCGCAGTCTTTTGGTCGCTTTATCGCAGCGGGACGAAAGACATCGCAACGTCTCAGCTGAGCTCCCGCTCCGAGATCGCTTTGCTGCAACCAACACAACGCGCAGTGGATCACAGTGCGCACGGCGATTTCGGTCGCATTATTGCCGGAAAAATCAAATTGGTGCGTTCCCAATGAGCAACTCGCAGCTGTGCCGGGTGGATCCTGCGATTGATTCGGGCTGCGTTGATGGCGCTCACTGCTGACAGGACGCTCCGGCCGCGCTCCACCACTCGCAGCCCGCGGCGGCCAATGCGCAGCGGGGCTGTGGGTTGTGGGGTGGATCGATGGAAATGGAAGGGCGACCAGGAGCAAAAAGCGGGCGTGGCCTTCGGGCAGGTGCGGGTCAGGGGCGCCCTTCACGGCAGGGGCGCGCGACACGCAGCAAGCCCGAGCCGCGCACGCACCCCTGCCGAGCCTGCCGCAAGCGACGCCCCTTCCTCTGCCATCTGTCACCTTGTGTCATTCAAATCCACAGGCCAACCTGACTGTTGACGAGTGGCTGTTGGTCGAGAAGATCGCCCAGCTTGGGGAGGCAGCTGCTGAAGAGGTGAGGGATCCATGCAGGCCAGGTGACGGCGGCGGCAACGGCGGGCCATGCGCGGGAACTGGACCCCCAGCATGGCAAGCGCGGCACCACCCGCACGACGTGCCCTGGGCGCAGGCCCTCTCCTCATGTCGCATGGGCGCGCATGCAGCCGCATGCTCGCCGCGTGCGCAGGGCAGCCTGAGGGCTGAGCCAAGGCCTTGCCCTTGCATGATCCGACCCAGCCCGCACCCCCCCTCCCCTCCCATC